TGTATGGCAAATTGTTAAAAATGTGCCCTAAAATGGCTGCTGAAAGCCCTCTCAGAGGGGCAAAACCAAGATGGTGGCCCCAGCGCTAAAATACAAATTGAATTGAACTGAAAATTATATTTTTGTGAATCACGTATCTAGACCATTCATCTGAGAAAGTTTGAGGAATTTGATTTTTTCTGGTCCAAATGGCCATAGTTGAAAATTACAGAGGGTGCCTCTTAAATCCAAAAAAAGGATTCTGGGTTTCGTTACTAAACGGATGAATAAAAGATCACTCAGATCATGTTACATCACAGGAACAGAAGAATACTTAACCCAAGTGGATTCTTTGGTTTCTTTTATGCACCATGATCTGAATGATCTTGGATTAATCTTTTCAGTATAGAATTGCAAAATCTGTTTTCTGATTTCAGAATCTTATCTTGGATCTTTCAAAGAAATGCACCATAAATTCAATCATTATTTTGCAATCTAAGCCTATATCATTCTTTCGTCTCAAAACATATTACTATAAATTACCTTTAAATATGAGGCTAGAAGATCACTGACTGGTTCTGTTGTGAGGTTATTAGCAAACTGACGAGCCTGCAGAAGTACTGAGAACACTGAAGGGAATTCAGATTGCAGTTGTCTTGCAGATTCCAAAGTCAATTCATACAGTGCAACCAGTGCAACCAGTGCTGGCACACCATTCGTAGGACTGTTCTCAGCTGGAAAGATTCTTCTTATTCGAGTCAAAGAGTATTTCGTTTTTGCCAGCAAACTTGACAGTATGGACAGCAGCATTTTAAACTGGAGATAAGCATTATAAACAGTCAGTCTTCACCTTCATTTCACTGTCCAATTCATAAATGTGTAGTTACAGAAAATATCCATACAGGGTACCTCTGCCATAGAAGGGATTTTATTTAAGGTTCCCCTCCCCCCCCCTCCCCCCACCTCTCCACTGCCTGGAAATTCCAATTAAGCTTCATACATTTCCCCCAAAACAGCACATTATGTCCAAGCATTGTGATCAGTAAATTAGCCCACTCCTTGTACATACCCTTTCTTTTGAACTGCCCCCTGAAAGCTCTTTTCCAATTGCTTTGTTATGCTTACCAGCCTTAGACAATGCAACAGTAATTTTCTTTTCCAAGTGAATTTATTGAAATGTGTAGCTAGTTCCAGGTTAGTGATAGCTTTATGCAGGTGCTCTGGGCTGTTCAAGCGTAAGGTTTCTAATGTGTATCCCAGTGGAAAAGACAAAAACTCAGCCAGTGATTGTGGTGATGTCTCAAACATTATTTTGAATTATGTTTCAGGTTGTATTTTCCAGTCACAAATGGCTAAGAAATGTACAACATTTAATTATACGCAGAAAGAGCCCCTTAACTAAATGCTTTGTTTGGAAACCACCTTGATGTCACTAATCATAATGTCCTGTTTTAAATATTATTTCCCTCCTCCCCCCCAATCAAAAAGTTAGGAGTCCTCCTCCTCTCTAATTATTTTTGGGGGAGGGAGTTGATGTACACACAATTAAACGATTTAACTATTAAGTTCTAACAAATCTTTGTACTCAAAGCAAAGTTTTCTAACCTCTTCTTTAACAAAAATTTCTTGGCAGATGAAAACATGATCCATAACATCTTGTAAACAAACAAAGACGTGCTCAATGTACCAGAGTTCATTCTCAAAGTACCTTACAGAGAAAACACCAAAAATTTCACGACATCAATAACTTCCTATAAAATAACAACCTTGTGCACCCTTGAATTGATTTTATTAATGCCAGGTACCAAATCAATGAAGGGTTCAAATAAATGCTGTCTACATGTAGTTCTCCTAGATACTAGCATTGATATATTACTCAGTCTTTGGGAATTAGTCCATCCTGGGCTTTCACCTTCTCATAATCGTCAGAGTTGTCCATTAAGTTTTATATTCATGAGTTAACAGTCAACAAACCACAGATGAGATGACTATCACTTGAGAGAAAATGATAGATAGTGAGTTGTTTAATTGCTTCAGTAGGTACCCTCACTGCAATCCAAACAACTAAAATTTTAAGCGCTGTATATGAAGTTTAAGGAAAATCAAGTTAAAATAACTTTCCCTTTCAAGGGCAGCATCCATGTGATTTTACTCCATCTGCTCATTGAAAACAATGGGAGAGTCAGTTAAAACAGGTTTGTGAATTTCCCACAGAACACATTGAATGTCTAGTAACACCAACACGTCTGGGGTGGACACAGGATTTTAGAGAAGGGGGTTAGAGATATGGACTGCCAAAGGCGGTTCCCTCTTGGGGAGTCCGGGGGCATCCTTCCCCAGAAAATTTTTACAATTCAAGTCCTCAGAAACAGGATTTCCGGCATTCTGAGGCCAAGTCAGCATATTGTAATTTATGTCTCATTTATTTTTAAATCAGGTGGTTCAACTGAACTCCCAAACCCCACCAGATACGCCCCAGAAACATACTAATTACACAATTGGTGCCAAGTAAGGATAATGAATATATTATTTTATCTTAGGGAGTGTCACCTACTTAACAAGGTACTCCAGATAAGAAATCTTGCAGAAGAGCGACCCTACTCCATATCTGAGTTCAAACTCTTTTAGCAGTCGGCATGCTGATGAGGAGAGAGGTGCTGTTGGAATTGCTCCACCATAAACTGGGTGTAGTTCCCTGTGTTTACTTTCAAACCTGCAGAAAATGTTTAATTTGTTTATTCCACTTTAACTTCTTATGCACACAGATTTTACATACCAATTATGCAGACAGAAGCACTATTAAAATGCATCAGTCCACATTTCCACCAAACATAGCCAAAGAAAAGTTCAGTCCAAACCTGATAAGTCTCTTCATCAGCTCAACATACTGTTTATGGTATTCTGGACTTTCCAGGGGTAACTCATGCACAACGGGACGAGCATAGTGCCAGAAGCTTCTAATCAAACCTTCTATCTTCTCCTTCTCAACTAGTACCCATTCACTATAGGCATTCTTGTCCATGAATGCCTGAACGCTGTAAAATGGGTGATGATTGCGCTCAAGTACAACCAGCCTACTTAGCAACTCTTCTACCAGAACCTGCAAAAAAATAGAAAAGAAATCCGAAAAAACCTTACTCATTTGGCATTTCACGCTAACAAATTCCCAATATTGAAAATAAAAGAAAACAATACCACAAGATTTGAATGTCCATAATTCATCAGTTGACAAACCAATCAGAAAATGCCAATTTTGTCAGGCCTATGTGCCCAAGAGATGGCAAAAACATTTTTTGAAAAGCCATGTACATGTATTAATTTAACTACTTGATTTTGAAATAGAATTAACGCATCAAGAATAGGAATTAAATGTACCGCTGTACAATGCATATAAAACAATAGACCACTCTTTCTATGGGTTTATTGGTGTAATAAACCATGCGGGAAGTTGGGAGATCAATATTGTTTTAAATAATCATACCTTTAGAGGCTCCTCCTTTGCACGAGGAACTTTATTTGGTATCTCAGTCTCACATAGGAACTTGTGTTGTCTCCTTCCAAGTTCAAAGACATTCATCACTAACTCCTGCAAAGCATCTGAAGAGATTGAGTCGGCAACTTCATGATCCACACAGTCAGCATCAGATGATGATGGCATATGAGGTCTGCAGGAATTTACTTTTGCAGCACCAGATGCTGAACTGAAAGTGAAAAGGACAGCATGGGTTATTCCAGAAAAAATACACACACCTCCGACGGATGGCGAGCATTTTCGATCCCCCCTTCTGACTGGATTTCCCAGACCGCTATAGCCCCCCTCCCGCCTGATTTCCAAGCTTGAGGACCCCCCCTCCCGCCTGGATTTCCATTTTTTTTTTAAAGGCCCTACCGGTAACTGGAAACAACAGGCAATAGAAAAGACGTAACATTTCATCCAAAAGATCCCTGTTTATTACAATTTTAAAAGCTTGGCGAATTTTGCGGGTTAAATTTCAACATTTTTTAAATCAGAATATTCAAATGATCGTGTTTGAATGTTTGAGTGATCTCACACTCTCCTCTAAAACGCCATTTGCCTTTTTCTGTACCACAACAAATGTACAAGATGAGAAATTCGTAAGTCTTAAAAATTATGTAAATGTGAGAAAAATTATAGCGAAAAAGTTGATAAGACGATTATAAAAAAAAACTATAATTTCAGTATTCAGTGACAAGACGGCCTACATTAATTAGCACATGTTTACAAGATCTAGTCCCCATTGTTAGGACTATTAGTGTGACATTTAAGAAAGTTTTTTGAACTAGACTAATTTTAAATTTATCTGTTATCTTAATGGGTCTGTAGGTCAACTGGAACTCTTGCCTTTCTTTCAAACATTCAAGTTTTTATGCGTAATGCCCATGTTCTGGCTTCCATAAACTTGTCTTTTGCCATATGGATCGTAAGGTATGGATAATAAAGTGGAAGTAGCAATAGATAAAACTGCTTAAAACTCTTGTAGATCCGATGAGGAATCTTCAATGTGAAATAATTAAAGAACTTAATACTGGGGTATATTGCGGCATTTACCATGAGCATATTTTTGGACAACCTGGATTCCACAAGAAAACTGATTGTTTCGGCGGATCTAATTATTTTGCATGGCGATATTGTATCCACAATTTTACGGTTATACATCGTAAGAGGTAAGAAAGAAATTATATGCAAATTGTGCATTCGCATGTTAGCCAGCAAAACGAGTTCTCAGGTTGCCTGAATAAAACAGAAAAGTACAACTGACTCCCAGCCTAATCGTCTTTTCTTCGCATTTTGGGGGATGCTACAATACACAGGCATGGGTGGCCTGGGCACCGTAAAAATGTTCCAGGCGTTGTGTGCTCAGTCAACGGTGCTTTATCCGGTCATAAAGCTGTTGTTATCCGTTTATCACACTGGTTCTTCATGATTAACAGGACCTATGAAGGTAAACTTAAAGCATATGAGGCAAGAACACCATAAACTGAAAGACTACAAGATTTCCCATTGCAAAGTTTTTTTTTTAAGTGGTTAAAATACATCGATCAAGGTTAAAGTTAAAAAAGACCCCCAGGGAAGAATTTTTAGGTTTAGATNCCCCCCATCCGGGGAGAATTTCCAGTTTGCCATCTGTCGAGGGTGTGTGTATTTTTCCTGGAATAACCCCATACAACATACATGTACATGTACAGATAATAATATCATGATATTTTGTTCAACCTCACCATATATACATTACTCACGGTACATAATAATGTTATTAATGCACTACTGTAAGTTGATCAAAATATGACTGTACCATGAAGAGGGAAGTCTTGGAAATGAGAACTTTCTTTGCAGTGATGATGGTGAAGACACTGGTGAATATAGTGTGTTTGGAGAGGCAGCCTGGCTAAGGACAGGACGCTGAGCACACAGCACAGCATTCTTGTACAATTCAAACAGGGGATGCTGTTGGAAGAATGAAATGCAACTAAATATCTTTGCAAATAGATGATTTCAGAATAAGTTAAAATTTAAATCATTAGTTTTTTGTACCTCAAATTCATTTGAAATCATTTGGACCAGAATTGCATTTGATGTTCAGCAGGCACATGTAAATTGTATCTTATGGGCTAAATGCTTTCAACACGTCTGTACACTGTGCATAGAGAGAGTAAGGCTGTGTATAATCCCCTCCCTCTCCACCATCCCTTTGTATTTATCCATCTCAATTTATCTTATTTGACAATTAAAATTTTACCCTTGCTGTGATGTCTCCAGCAGTCTCACTAGCAGTCGATGTTCCTATAATATTAATTAACAATTAATTAACCTTATTAATAATTTATGTTAAACACAGTCTTAAGCACTACAGAAAACAAGATTAGCTCCTGTAGGGTGGGATATGTTGGCCTGATGCTAAGTTAACCTTCTTGTGTGACATGACTATCAGGCTTGAGAGCCAGGTGCTAATCTTGCTTTCTATAGCGCTAAGTGTCTAGTAACTTGTATTCCTACTCCCTCCTACACGTAAAATCCTAGTTGATTACAGGGTTAGGTTTTTCTCTTGTTTAACAGTCTTAAGAGTGCCTGCCTGTAAAAATCAGACAAATTCTTAATTTCGCGGCAAGGGTCAAAAATTCGATTTCGCTCATATTCTTATGGTAGATAGGCTAGAGCATGACAAAAACTACTGGATAGTTTTCTTGGCAAAATATCCTTTTATTTCAAAGAAATATGCAAATTACCAAATTCCGTTAAAATCGTCATTTGACGCACCATTTTGTTAAGCAAGTTTGACAGCCTCGCATGCAAAACTGCATCATTCTTCCGTCTTTAAAACACTCAAATATTTTTATGCAGTGTTTAAATGTGTACTGGGTTGGTTTTAGGGAATGTTGCGTTGTCTTTTTGG